ATACAATATATTTCTCTCTCTCTCTCTCTCTCTCGCTCTCTCGCCCTCTCAAACGTATAGTATTTTTAGTGACTATTTTATTGTTCAAACAGACAATCAATTTGACAAATATTGTCAAAAAGGCATATATTTTGTGCCATTTATTGCTAGTGTTATGTAAATGCCTAAAACCTTTAAAATAAGTTATAAGCTTTTTTGTTTAACTAGAAAACTATCTTACATTTGATTGTTTAAGTCGTTATGATAACAATATTATTAAATCATGTACTTTCTTACCAGTGTTCTCCAATAAACTTATATTGTATAAAATAATGTAAACTTTATATAAACAGTCAAAACATTTAATTTTTAAGTTGTTATAAATGGGAAAGTCTACAATATTTAACATAATGTTTATAGTTTGTGACAAATTTTAGGCAGTTTTTTGTACTAATGTTTTTACATATAAAGTAGTACTTATAATATTTGTAATAATGTTTTGTTTCTATTGAAAGACAGTGAAAGAAAGTGACACAAAAAGTGTTATCAATTTTTCCAATGACTTCATCGCTAGAGAGAGAGAGAGAGAGAGAGAGAGAGAGAGAGAGAGAGAGAGAGCACAGAGAGAAATATATTGTATATTGTTTTCCGAAATTAAGTGCAATATATTTCAGAGCAAAAAATAAAATAAAATAAGTAAGTATTGCAAAAAATAAACAAAAATATGATCTCAAAATAGACACAAAAATAGTTTTATGTATTGTTGAACTGAATTCATATGGAAATTAGCATAAAATGTCATGCACTCAATCTATCTGGATTAATAAGCAAGCACAGAATTTAATATACAGTATATCTTAAACTTAATAAAAAAAATAAAACAAATTTTAATCAAAAGTTTCCATGTTAAATCACAATAACTATAGACTATAGTACTAAACAATTCAATCCTTGATCTATGAGTGGGAACTCCCGGTGCTGTACAAGAATTGAACAAAATTGCTATTCATTGAAATCAATGACATTTTTTTGGCTGATAATACTGTACACAATCTTAAAGGCATTGATCTAATACTGACATTAAATCAAAACAATTTATACAAAAAAAGTTACGTAATATTCACTTTACTTTTGAGAAACTAATCAATGGATATAAAACACAACAGGGATGAAATCAGTGGCACAAATAAAACAACATAGTGATTTTTCTCAAATACCATGTAACTTTATATAATATAATCTACAGTATAGTACTGAATGTAATGTACTTTTAATTTACCTTACATTATCAATATACTGTATAAAATTAAACGGCATATTTTTGGGACACAATCCTTATAGTGTCATACCTTATAATCTAATCGCCAAAACTTATAGTTAACTACAAATTAGTCCCTATTTTTAACACAACAAAAACCAAAGCCGTAGTAAATTAATGGGAGTGTAAGTGCGGGGGAAGATTTGCCGGCACTCCGGAGGGATAGGGTATGTATTAATAGTTAATTAAATTAAAAGGCATAATGAAATTAGTTTGGTTTCAGTAAATGTGAACTTTATTGTCAATTTCAAGCCATATACACAAACACACATACAACAACATGGTATAATTAATAGATTATACATGATGCTAGGTGAGCAGGTACTTTTTCAAAACACAACGGGTGTCGTATAATTGATATATTCGTTGACATTCTTGCATCTGGTGCTGGTGTTGGCGTTCAGTACCATAATCTGCGCCCTCTCATCAATACTAACCCCGATTATCATATCGGTGTTGTCGCTGTCGGTTGGATTCTTGGGCACCGCCTCCACCTTCCAGCCCGTAGGCACCGGACCCTTTCATTTTGAACATGTAAAACAATTTAATATGGTTATATTTATCATATACTGTTGAATAAGGTAAGTGGATGTATTTAATTTATGACTATAGTTAATGTAGTGTATAGTATGTATTGTTATGCGAAGTAAATTATTTAATTAAAATGTTGTGTACTTTTTGTTTTTCCCGAATACTTCCCAATATTAGCCGCTTTTTTACTCAGTTGAAAATGTTATGCAAAAATTGTTAGCATTTTTGCTATTAATTTTGTTGTTTTGCATGAAATACGTGATTAAATTCCTGTTCATATAATATATCACATTATAATTTAACTGATGATTATTATTCAATTGTTTATTTCCCCAAATTGTTTGTTTTGAAAAATAAAATGTGTGTAAAAATCATAAATAAATATAAAATTAAATATTATAAATGTAATTTCTTTTAATTTTATTTTATTTAAATTTACTAAAATTTTAATTTAAAACCTAACTTGATGCAAATATTGTAAACATGATAAATAAATTATTTAAATTTATACAATGTATTATATCGTATTTTTTCGGAAAACTATTTTAACAATGTAATATAATTTATCTCTTTTAATATCAAATTAAATGCTTCTCAAGCATTAAATCGGATCAAAACTTCGCATCAATTGATATTAAATATAAAAGTTATTAAATAATAACTATGGTTACAATGCTATTAATAAATTAGTTTATATTTTATTTTTATTTCAACTAATTTTATAAATATAAATCATTTATCGCACAGTTTGTACTTATAATACCCAAAACGAGTGTTTAATATTAAACATCAATTTATTTAAACAGCACTTTACGGCGGGGAGTAGGGTAACCAACTGGCATTAATTATAGTGGGCGGTTTTATTTTTTACTTAAACTTTTAATACCAGGAATCATTAAAAATCTAATAACTTTATTTATAATAACGCTATTATTTACAAATAATTATAAATTATAAATATTTAATCTTTTATTATTTAATTATTAAACTATAAATAATTGATCTATGTTTGAAAAATATTTTTCTCTACTTACACCATAGAAAATTAATTTCTAAATAAAATTACTATTTACTATTTGCTACCAAAAAACTATTTTACCATATGTCAAATGTTATTACCTATACACATAAATCGATAAACACTAGTAATAATAACCAATATGTTATCACTTATCCCTGGTATTCACAAAAAGGCTAAAATAAATAAATTAATTTCTATGAGCTAAATGTCAAACATATCATTGATATGTAAATATTTAATAATAATACACTAGTAATAATAACCAATATGTTATCACTTATCCCTGGTATTCACAAAAAGGCTAAAATAAATAAATTAATTTCTATGAGCTAAATGTCAAACATATCATTGAATACATTTATAAATTATTATTATATAAATATCGTTTGGACACCTGTGGTCGGTAGCAGTCCGTCCATATAGCAGTGGCCGTAACATATGCTGACTAATGCCAATCATGTATCGGATGTGCCCCCATGTGTAAATTGCTCCTGGTGCCAGCCCAGCACCCACGGGCCACCTGAGCCCGTGCTCCTGATCTGTTTAGGCAATATCACTGATACGGCCACGTAATACGTTAGCGCCGGTATGTATGCTATAATAATTTAATAATGATAAAAATATACAGAAAAATATATTGTATTTATTTAACAATTTCCCTGATGGTAAATTTAATTATGGTGCAAATTATGGTAGATTATTAGATTACTTGGCACGAAATCCACCTCGGCAAATAGGGGCCGACCCCTAACCAATGGATATACACCGGACTTTGTGTCCGTTGTTTGATCCGTGTATAACAGCCGCACCTCTCGTATGCCATTATTGCCACCTATTATTTGTGTAACAATTTTATTAGTGTTTGTATTGAAAACTCTTATATAAACTAATTATTGTTATATATATTTTTCGTGGCGTTTATTACATTTCTAAGTACTTTATAA